ACTGTTCTGGCAGTCTTGGTATTCCTAGGAAAAAAAAAACTAGCTTCCCTGTTAAAAAAGGCTAGATGATTTCCCAATACTCTGACCAATTTTAATTAAAAAACTCTTTCCTGATCATGTATCTGGCAACTTTTCTTGTTACTTTGTCCAGTGCTGAATCGTCTAGTGGTCATATTGTTGGCGATCCGAATGTTCGTTTTATCTCCTGAGAGGAGTACCAGCTCAATGTTCAGCAGTGCGGTACAAGAATAATGCAAAACTGAAATCTGCCGCGTGTTATATGCTACTGCTATCAAGATTCAGGCATTTAATGACCAAAATGTCACCGAAAAAATAGACTGGAAGGATTGCCCAGAAAAGATCAGAAAATTTGATTTGGAGATCCGATGTCAGCAGTGTTACGTGGATCGGCTTAGCTGAGTACAGTTACCACTCGTGCATATCAACTAGGACTCACGCACATTCCTAAAGCGTCAGAGTCGCTGTTTTCCAGAGAGTCTTTTTTTTTTTGGAGAACAAAAATTCTGTTTGAAATTGTTCGAGTTTCTATTTATACTCCACGAATGCGTTTCTGAAGAAATGTACGTTTCTTTGCGTCTTTGATTTATAAGCATGATTTATAGTACGCTGTTTTCAAGACTGTGCTTTTTCGATCATTTGTCAAACTGTGCCACAAATTATGAAAATGTCCCGGATTTCAAAACATCCTTCAGATTCTTTTATGTTCGATTAATAATTCGATTAAAAAATGGGAGCTTGCCCGTTTGAAACGTTTGATTTTTGCCGCTTTAAAGTTTTGAAATATTACATTGCAAAGCTCAGTTGCGGAGCCATAAAAGCCAGGAAGCTGAAATTTTGTGAACACAGTCCTTGATTCGAGCGGACTCAAAAAAAACGAAATCATCTTTTCAACCTGGTGTAGGAGTGCTCTCTGCGTGAATGCACCCTGGTGACATTACTAACATGAGATAAACAGCGTTAACATTCTTAGCAGGTTTTTGCTAATTTGTGGTTTATTACTGAATTATAAGAAATCTCTTTCGATCACCGAAAATCCTTTTTTCATATGAATTTCGATCCTAGCATCACATCGTGTTACGAAAGTGGCAGAGGTCTAATTAGAAATTTTACTCGCCGGTGCAGGTATTCGTAAGCAGGCGCTGTTGCGAATATGCGACTACCAACAGATGGCAATCAGCGAGAGGTCATGACGCTGTGACAGGTGAATTATGGCGGCAGTGCTCAGATTATAGTACTTGTCACGGCTGCTATGCTGATTATATCAGAACCTACACACTGAAAGCCAAGAGCGTTTAAAAAAAGTGTTGACGAATTTTCTCTAATGTAGATGATGAATTCTCCAGTGAAGCGTCAAAACCCCTCCACACCTCACTCTCCACGAAAAACGGAAGCACTCGAAAGTAGCGCGAGTGAAAACTCTTGCCAACATCAATCACAGCTGACAAAGCTGTCGACCAGTTTTTTTTTGCGGGTTGCAATCCGATAACGATATTTCCTCACCTATTCAAATATCCAAATTTTGCTAATCTTACTTGAACTAAAAAATTTACAGGAATATTAGCAATCCCTTCAGCCTTGGCGGCATGTACATATGGATTAATCCGCCTCTCTCAGCCCGACGCTTCAAATGACAGCAAAATTAGGCGGCAAGATCTAAGAAAGCGGAAAGGCGGCATGGGCTTTTTCATAACCTTTATATCCACTTCCTCCCCCCACCCTACCCTCTCTGTTCCTCCAGCACATCTCCAGATCCCTCCTTTTGCCTCTCCAAACCTCCATCGTGTCTGTTTAGAAGTATCACAGACTGGACCTGGAATACGAAAGGAATGGTAGGACTAGCGGATTCAGCTCGGTTGCTTCAATTTATACTATATCAATAGATTTATTGTTTTGTTAACCCGTCATTGTGCTCCTCTTCGCTGTCCTCATGCTCCTTGACCTGTGCCTTTCCCCGCCCAACCAGTGAAAAAAAATAATAATCAGCCGGCTGATGAGCCGTAAGAACAGTTCGGTGTTCGACAACTTCACTTTTCATGTTGCTTATTGCCTTGCCCTCTACTGACTGGTAGTTCCCGGGACGAAAACATTCTGATATCCCATTATAGCAGCTGATTTTTTTCTGTTCTTTTGTACTTTCAGTGATTTTGGCATAATTTTATATTATTTTAGTCCCAACTTAGATCTTCCTGGACCCAAAGTGTATTGATTTTTCATCAGAGAAGAACTGAATTTTGCGCATTTACTGACAACCATTACCTCCCTTATATCAGCAAGCAGCACTCAAGAACGGGAGTTGATTGTCTCGATGACTTCTGCAAGAGATGGTGCGCATAGAGAAGGTACAAGTAGAAATGTAGTTTCATCTGACATAAAACTAAGAGCTCCACGCTGCAGCGCTTCTAGAAAGTGGTACTGTGATTTGTAGCCAGTTCTTCAGCTCTGCAACCGGCAACTTTTTCAGTTGCTTTGTCCAATGCTACAACGCCTGGCGGACAAACCGCTGGCGGTCCTGACGTTTGTTTCATCTTCTGAATGGATCACTCGCCCAACGCTTCTTTCGATAAAGGCATTTAGCAGGGCCCTGGCAGATATTACTGGTTTCTGTTGAGTATCGTCATCTCGTCCCAGATGTTACTAGTTCTAGATTCTGATAAGGTACTTTACCAACTGGAAGGATATCTCTTATACACTGCGTAAACTTACTCCTTTCATTAAGAAACTAAGTACATTCATGAAGAAAAGAAAGCCAACGACTGCCAGGGCCCTGCAGTGAATGATTGCTGTAATTTGACAATTGCTATCCTCGGAATACTTTTGCGTATTTTTGCCTCTGACAAAGGGCAATTCCGAAGAGGGTTCTGACTTTTGACATAACTAAGTCAATTCACCTATTGCATATTTTTCTACTATGAACTTTGAAAAAACATAAACTCCAGCAAGGCGGTAACCGAAAAGACTAATACTAATACTTACTTATAAGAGCAGTTTGAAGACTAATACTTATAAGAGCACATGATAGCATCGCTCGCTCAGTCGCTTTGCATCTCAATTCCTCAGAATGTCGTTTCTTTCCTGAAACTCATTTTTTACTGTTTCGTAGATGCAAGTGAGATAATTCAAAAAGTGGCGAAGTAGTCCCATTTTTTTTCACACGTCAGCAACCGTTTGAATTTTTATAAAAATCGCCGATTCATGAAATTTTCTATTTTTTGAAAACTTTTGCGATTTTTTTTTTCAGAGTTTTCAGCTTCTGATACAAGCTATGTATAGCTATACAAAAAAGCAAAGTAACGAAGATTTAGTCTCGGCTCCTCTTGCTTTTTCTTTATACTACTTAGTATACTTTTGTTTCTTTAACTTCTTTCAACTGCTTCCTTATTCCTTATTTGATGCTGAGAATAGGATGGCATGAACAACCATTGTGGGAATTCAATATCAGTGGTGTTAATAAGGTGCCCCCGCCTGCAAGGCGCAGCTATGTCAAACCCTTACATGTCTTCAGCGAGTGTTCACCGCCGCCGTTGTATGCCTTCGGAGGTTGCCCGAGTGATCGTTTACTTTCTTGCGGGTATCATTCACTGATAATACACAGCCATATTCTATATCCTATGGCAGGCCAGGGAATTCGAAAATGGCTTGAGCGGCATCATTTAAAAACAGCAGTTTTAAATGATGCCGCTCAAGCCATTTTCGAGCTCCATTCTCTCTTGAGTTGTGCGAAGGTTGATTAGCAGTGAGGGATGAGGGTGCGAAAAAGACAGGAGGGTGGAAAGTCTGGAGAAGTACGTTGAACCTTTTCTAACTTTAATGGATATTTTCTCATCCTCATGCACACTGGAAATAAATGTCCATTAGTGGGGATGATGTATTACCGCTACTACTAGGACGACAACGGCAACTGCGAAAGCACTCTGACGAGCAACGGTGGCGGCTTTTCGCTTTGAAAGATAACATTAGCGTCGGCTTGAAAATTTCAAATTTTTCAAAAAAATTGTTGGGGGTTGGCTGAGACGAGAGGCCGAATCGGCGTCGCCGGGTTTCGCAAATTACCCGCTTATTTGCTGACAGCAGTGAAAACAGATTCCTAAACTGGTCATTTTCCAGGAAGTGAGTCATACCGGTAAAAAGAGCCGCAGAAGAAGAAAAGAGAAAAAAAAAATGCTCAAAAATTTTTTTCGCCCACGAAGAAGCAATAAAGAGAACGAAGATCAGCAGCAGGAGCAGCAGCTGCACCCCAGTGAATTTGTTCGTTTTTTTTTATTTACCCAAGTGATTTCTGATGCGCAGTCCTGATTGTAGATGAAGTCTGGGGAAGCTCAGAATACAGCATTATTATTGATTTGTTAATGGATGTTTGGTGTTACGCTTAGGCAGAATTATAAACGCTATTTCAAGAACAGATATTAGCTGATAGTTAAGAGTACTGGAAATGCTAGAGATTTGGAATATATAGTGGATATTGAAAAATTATAATTTAGCTGACGCTAAGACGTCTCGATCCCTTAAATTGTATATGCCTGAACTTAGCATCCAATTAGTCCTCGTCAGTAAAACAGTTCTGGCATAAATTATTACTACCTAACAAATAAAAAATTTACAAATTAATGGAGCAAAACCAAATTGTGGGATAGGGGAAAGAAGAAGTTCAATTCTATCTGTTCGGCGGTTGTTTGGACTGCGTGGACCGTTACTTGTACCGGTTATAGTACTGTATAAAGAAGCATTCACAGAACGCCTGTGTTCTTTGCAAAGAGCTGAACTCTAATACCAAGCCAGCGTCACAGCTGCATAGCAGAAATTCTAAACCATGTTATTCAAGCCTTTCACGCAACATTTTGACAGCGTTATGACCTTTTATGCCAAACACAAACTGCTAAAATAAAATGAGTCTATAAATAATTTTGAGGTAAAACACTTAGTTATCCACTGTGTTCCCACAATCACTGATCCGCTAGTTTTGTTCATTCGTCTTTTTTCAGGATCGCGGCACACCATCACAGAGGTCGACACGTAGCGGTCACGAGAGACGATCTGCGCATTCCGCTCATCATCATCATCGCTATCACGGCGGAGAGGGTGAGAATGGTAATGAGGATTTTCAAGTACCAGCAGCATCACCGTATCACACCACTACACAAAGGAGGCATCAACGTGGTTCCCAGTCCTGTTACAACGCTTTCAGCGATGATTTTGATCGGTTTTCCAATATGAACAGGTCGTTCACCGCCGCTGTGCATCCCAGATTTAAGGTTCTCGTTGCCGCATTTCTGTTTTCAAATATTTCATAGTGTTTTAAATTTTGCTGGCTATTTCAAGGTCCCAGCCAACTGTACCAGGATCGGACGGTCTGACATAGGTGCGACCGACGTGCGGAAGCATCTCAGTAATATTACTAATACGGGGTACTTACACTGATTCTCCGGATGGTCTTGGTGTCCTTCTTATTTCAAGGATTTTTATATTCAAATCGCCGATGTTCCTTTGTAATCTCTTAATCCCAGTTTTTGACACCAGCGATGAGCAGATTTTTCCAGCTTTTTAATAACATATATTAACAAAAAACAAATTAAAAGAGATCTAAAGATAGGAAACAGGAGCCTAAGTGGATAATCCAGAAACAAGAGTATTAATCTACCACCATTCAAAAGTCAAAGTTCTCCCGTATTCACATTCTGTGAGAGGCGGAGGCACCAGAAAGTAGCCTAGTAGCAAACGCCAACAGTAACCATTCGCTGGCAAGGCTGTCGATGGCTCCCTATTTCGATGGTTGCTTAGAAGCAAGTTGAATGGTGGGGTGATTTCCTAATATTTGTCAGTATCAATTTATCACGAATGAAAGAATCGCAGAAGGATTGGTTGATTCGTTTGTGCAATCGAGCTTCGATCTATCACAGTGTTATTTCCTACTGTGCCATGCTTGTCAAGGATCTGAAGCCACTTATCAGAAAGAGTGAATTCAACAGTTACTACCTTTTGTAATTTTCTAAAGAGGTGGACAAGCATGCATATTATAAGTAACTGATATAAACCAGAAGCAAGCATTTTTGGATAAAAGGAAAACAGTGAATTCGACTCAAAATAAACTCAAAAACACCATCAACGTTCATATCTCACTTTACTTGTTGAGTTTTGATTGCTTTTAGCCGTTTCGGCGTGATTACATAAGCAGTGCACGTCGTGGACATATAAATATGGAATATGTAAACTGTGATCGTTCTTCTGGAATGTATAACAGGGATCTGGATGATTCAGATGCTGAGACGTGGAATTCGGAGAAAATTATCAAAGTAAATCGTTTCGTTTTCAACAAATTTATATTAATTACTCTTCAAGTTGGTAGGATAACTCATCACAGTCTAGATGTAACAAGTTCGAGAAGAGACGGTGACGCTCAAAATATACACACACCAAGATCATCTCGAAACGGTTACGGCCATTCTATGTGAGGGAAGCTGTTGTGGTGTAATCCCTTCAGGAGATGAAACGGACGTCAGGATCGCCAACGGGCCAACAATTAAGTGATGCAGCAATGGTCGAAATAAATGGAAAAATTGCCAGTTGCATGGCAGGAGAACTACGCTGTGAGCTGCAGCTGATTTAAATATCCAACTACGTTGATTTCCGGAACGCCAAATGCTTTTGCTGTTATAAAAGAGTGAGGAATGAGGTCCAGCTGCGGTGCTGAAACAACACACACGATTTGATGAACGAAGAATTCCTACTCAGATTTTTTTCTGCCTTTTCCCTTTTCTTAATTCCGTTATTTTCTCCAAATTCCTACCTACTTGAGTATTGCTCACAAATTCTCTCAGTGATTAAAGGAGTTCTTTGTGTTAATAAAGAACGGTCTTTGAAACAGCTACCAGACTGCTCCTTCCTCATACCGTTCATGCTTCGCCAAACTTATAGGAACTTCGCAACGAATTACGAGTAACTACTGATCGAAAAAATTACTATAAAGATTTGTATAAACGTGAGCGGCAAAATCGGATACGTGATCGCGAGTTGCGTGACCTCGTCGAGAAGAAGCTAATGGATGATTTGAAAGAAAGAGAAATGGAATATTCGAATTGTCTACTGCGGATTAAATCCCTAGAACAAGTAAATCTTATTTCAAACCACATGTTTTTGAGTTGAGAATAGTGCAATTTTTTGGAATTTGAATTAGTCAAACCACAGTTTTATTTTGAATTATAATTCATTGTAATTGAGTTCATCGTAAATCACTCTTTCTATATTTCTGTTAAAATTCAAAATAAAACTCACTTTTTGTACATTTCAGCAGCTGCAACACCAGTCCAACTTTCCTCCACCAATGCGCGAATCCACATTTCGAGTTCCACACTTTTGCACTCCGTCAACATCGCACACCGCTTCAACGATGGCCGGTGCTGGTGAAGCCCTGTCCAGTACATCGGAATTGTTTGGTCTACGAAGCGCTTACCTCACCAGTCCGCCCGTCCCAGGGTCTGAAGCGATACCCGCATCGCTAGGAGTAGCAGCGGCTGTAGTACCGGAAAATTCCGGCGAGATGCCGGACGAAACGAAAGTTTTCCGGCAACCTGATGAATCTGCTTTGGAACTTCCGAGAAACAGCAGCAACTGTGATGATTCTGATGAACAAGTCGGCGTTAAAAACAGCGAAGCCGTGCAGAATTTTGAAACGGATGACGTCAAAAGCTCCGTTGCCGACGTGTTGAAAAGTTGTAACGATAACAACAGCAAAGATAACAATGGCAATATTAACGGGACAGTATTAGAGGAAGAAGCACAGTCGGACACCGGCTACGGGACAACATCGGAATGTGCTTCCGACCTACGACGAGTACACAGCGATTCTGACCTGCCCTTGCAACAACTTTCGCAGGCTTGATTTTCGATACCGGGGACTTGGGATCATATCTATCATTGGTGACAGGTACATTAGCATCATGGCTTTTATACCTATACTAGCTTTTATAGTCGCGAGCATGGCGTAATGGCAAGTAGCACGAGGGCACAACGTCAGTGGGACAGTCAATCCCTCAACAATTTATCCATACGTTTGGATGGTAATTTGCTACGAAGCCAAGGATGGTTTGAATCTTGCCATCAGGTTGCTTGTAAGTGGCCCTTCATAAGGGGACCATCGACGGCCTTGTCAGCTGGTGGTTGCTGTTGGCATTTGCTATCATTCGGACTATTTCCCGGGTGCGTCCGCCGTCCACAAAGAACAAAATAAATGGCAACGCGCACCAGGCTAGCCGGTGCGATCATGCGTTTTGTGCAATTCAGC